TTTTTTTTAATATATATATTTGTATATATATATATATGTGAATTTATATGTATATATTAATTTAAATATATGTAGATAAAAATTTGAATACTTAATAATATTTTTTTGCTGAGTCAGCACTTTTTTTGCTGAGTCAGCACTTTTTTGCTGAGTCATTGCTGAGTCAGCAGTTTTTTGTCGAATGAACAGTAACGTTTAACGACGTTAACGGATGAGTGGTTGATTTGGAAAAAAATTTAAAAGTCTGGGTATTTATGTGGGAGTTATGAAAAGTTCAGGTATTTATATGACAATTTTATAGTTCGGGTATTTATGTGGGATTTTTGTAAAAGTTCAGGTATTTAAATGCGATTATCCCTTGTTAATAATTTTTTTTTCTCTAATATATCTCTTCCATGCCTGCCGTTTTCTTTTTTCCCGCCATATGTAGCTCCTCCACCTTATGTACCACCCATTCCTTTCCCTTCTCGATTGAAGAAGCGTACTGAGGATACACAGTTGTCCAGATTTGCCAATCCACTGAAAGAAGCGTTCCGTTGACGTTCTCCACATACCCGATATCAAGTAAAAGACATCGGCTTTTGCAGCATCAGCTTTCATTCGGAAGAGATTTCCGTAATGGTTCAGGCAGCTATCCACCAACATACGGAGCTCTATGTCGCTTATATGAGCTTGAAGTGCGGTTCTAATCTCACTAACTCGCCTGTTCTGTTCTTCTAACCAGTGGGCATGTTCCATCTCAAAAGCAGCAATCCCTGCAAATAATGGGTCATTGGAAACAGCTTATTAGGGCCAGTGGGCATAAAGAGAGATCCCGAAATGTGAAATCACGAACCTGTGTTCATAGTGCCAGATGGTCCGAGAAAGCTCGTGTCTGATGAGCTACGTACGTATAATCCCTGAAACCAAGAATCGTTGAGTAACTACGAAAGAGATAAAACTTAACAAACATCGAACAGAAAATAAAAAAGATTCACCTCACCTGCTGCCTAGCCCTCTGGAGCTCCTGCTCCAGTTGCGACAGCTTTAACCGGCTTTCTTCTAACTGCTGGACATATGCCTGCACAAAGTCCAGCCTGGAATGTTTCTGGTTAATCAGGCCACATCAGAAGAAGAATCGGTTGAGGACGTCAACTACATAGGAAGGAATCAATACCAGAATCCTTCACACCTCTACAACCCGAGCGCGCCTAGGAACCATCCTGGTTTGTCCTACGGAAACCCAAGCGGAGCATTGAATGCGCGGCAGCAGAGCGCTCCCAGAATCCCTCAGAATCCCCTAGGCTTCACTCAGTCACGTTTTCAGGGGCAGAATCAGGGATACGCGCAACAGAATCCTGGGTACGGGCAGCATGATCAGGGTTACCGAGCGCATCAACGTGCAAAGAACGATGAAGCGGACATCAAGACGATGATTGCCCAACTGATGGCCGATCAGAAGACATCATTTACGGAGCTGAAAACCGAGGTACAGAGCATAAGGGCAAGGCAAGACACTTTTGAGAGGAGATTAGATGGAGTTGAGGCTCATCTGAAGCATGTGGACATGCAGATTGCAGAGCTTGCATCACAACCCTCTAGACAACAGGGCACATTTCCTGGAAAGCCCGAACCGAATCCACGAGAGCATGTCAATGCTATTCAGCTTATAAGTGGAAAGAACCTGCATGTAGAGGAGACACGTAAGGTGCAAGTAGAGGAAGCCGAATCGCCATATGTAGCTCCTCCACCTTATGTACCACCCATTCCTTTCCCTTCTCGATTGAAGAAGCGTACTGAGGATACACAGTTGTCCAGATTTGTTGATATGCTTCGGAAGTTAGAGGTTAAGGTACCTTTCTACGAGACGATACTCCAGATCCCTTCTTATGCAAAATTTTTGAAAGATATCTTGACTAAAAAGAGGGTGATTGGGAAGGAGACAGTATCCTTGAGCACAGAGGTGAGCGCAGCGATTCTACGGCAGGAGTTACCACGGAAGAGATCGGATCCAGGTAGTTTCTCGATTCCTTGCAAAATCGGGAACATTGAGATTGACCGTGCGTTGTGTGATTTGGGCGCCAGTGTGAGCTTGCTTCCGTTGTCCATCTACAAGAAGCTCAACATTGGAGATCTGAAGCCGACGAGGATGGCACTACAGCTTGCGGATAGATCCGTCAAGTATCCTGCAGGTATTCTCGAGGACGTCCCATTGAAGGTCGGGAATTACTATGTTCCCGTGGATTTTATTGTTTTAGACATGGACGAGGACTCGAAGATACCGATTATATTAGGCCGACCGTTCTTAAACACGGCCGATGCGGTGGTTCATGTTCGTGCTGGTCGTCTTACGATGAAGATAGGTGACGAGACTGTGGAATTCACCTTAGATCACGACATGAAGCAACCATCCACCACCGACTCAGCGTGCTTCGTCGATGCGCACGAGATCTTGACTCAAGAAGTCTTCGATCAGTTCCGAGACATTGATCCACTTGAAATATCCCTCCTGGCATCAAAAGAGAGTATATACAGCAATTGGGAGGATATTCGGGAGCTCACACAGGCGTTAGACGATGAAATCGAGGAAAAATTCGAGCTTCTGTCTACTGACTCGACCGAGTCAATGCCTGACTCGGACCGAGTCAAGTCGCTGGAAGACTTAGAAGCTCTGTTAGCTTCAGACTCGGTGTCGCAAAGTTTCAACTCGACCGAGTCAAGTGTTGACTCGACCTTCCTTCGTTCTGACTCGGACCGAGTCAGTTCTCTGAGCCCCACCACCGACACCGAGCCAGCCCGGAACATCTCCGAACCCCCCATGACGACCACCCTAGATGTTCCAGAACCCAGAGAGCCATCATTTAGCACGGGGATGCTGAATAAAGCAGATTGGAGTCTAGAGAATGCCCCGAAGGTGAAATTGAAGCCCCTACCTCAAAGGCTTAGGACAAAGGAACACACATACACATATAGGAACACAGAACAATCATTGGAGAGAGGTACATATCTTGCTCATAATCCTATATCCGTGTTTGAACCTTCTATTACAGGTTCTCGAGTAGGGGTAATGAGCAAGAGAGGATCGAAACGAGCAAAATCATCGCTCAGAAGTCCACATGAATCACCTCCTTCACAAGTTTGGAAACCCAAGGAGGATAGACGACTCAAGAGTCCACGAGGTACAAAAGATGCGCTTAATGCTCAACATCCAGGGTGGCGAAAGATCGATTATCTTCGCCTCTCAGACCCTCCCATCATTTGAGCAAGATAGGTCGAGCTAATGACGTTAAACAAGCGCTTCTCGGGAGGCAACCCGAGTATTAGGTAATTTTTCTTTTCTTTTTCTTTGTAGCATAGGTGGTACAGACCATGATTGTATTTTGGATCTTTCGGAATACATTGCTATTATTATGCTTTTGTTCGGATAACGTTTGGTGTTCTATGAGCGTTTATACCGGCACAAGAGAGATTAACATCGACTTCCGAGAGACAACGTTGGATAGGTTCCAATTCAAGGAGTGTGTGAGAGCTTTTGCGTTTGACGTGAGTTAACTTCGTTGCGAGCAAACGAATTTCGCAGAGCTAAGCCTTCCTTATCCCTCTTATTGGTTCTTTTCACACGTTGTTTTGGATTCTACTTTTCCGGGCGAGAGTCTACACCGTGGACGGTGTATGATTCAAGTCTGGGGGGGTGGATAGATCCTTCACACATTCAGGTCTATCTACTTAGAATTGCATTTAGTTTAGGTGCATTTTATCATAGCATATAGACTTAGGAAAATTTTGCATTTTTTTGCATATCACTTTGCATTAGTTGCATTCACGTTTTCTTTTTCCTTTTTCCATATAGATGATTTTTGTTAGGTTTGCATGATTGCATATGACATATAGATATAGGTTCATATAGGTTCACGTACATACCTCGGACACCCGTTTTGAACATCATTTGGAGGATTTGTGGAATGATAGAGTAGGAACACCTTGATGATCTAGTGACTTTGTAGAACGTGGTTGAACCGTGCCGAATTGATAGTTCTCCAGACTTCTATACATAGTTTGTGGGATAAGGTTGTTGTTTGGAACCTACGGAGTTGAAACGACTATATCCAGGTTATATGTTTCGTTTAGAACCTTTTCCGAGTCTTGCAGGTCGATGAAATCTAGTTCAACAATTGCCTTGGAAAAATAAAGCATCTCGACACCCCGCTGTCAAAATCTCGTTAACGAAAATCGTTCGAGGACATGAGTGCATCGATTGATGGTTCGGGTCTAAGTTGTGGGTCAGACATCGCATCAAAAGAAAAAAAAATATATATAAAAAACAAAGAGAAAAGAAAAGAAAGAGAGAAAATGATGTCCTTCAACTTCAACGTCCTAGAAACCCGAGATGCGTGCGTTTGACAGAAAAATCCTACAAAAAGGTAAAAATCCAGGTACGAAGTAGAACTAAGATCGAAAAGGCAAAAGTTGAGATAAGGATAGCTCGATTCCTTGCAAAATCGGGAACATTGAGATTGACCGTGCGTTGTGTGAT